TGGTAAATATCCAATCTGATCCTTCAGTAAAAATAAAAATAAAACCCTTAGAGTCCACCTCGCGAATCCCTGCATTCTATGTAGGGCAACGAATATTAAAGCGTAACTGTAGTGGGTAAGAAGGAATATATAATAATCAAACCTTTTTTTATGAGAAATTAATTCAAGGGTTAATTGGATCCATGCCACATTAGAAAAGTATCCTATTGAAAATCTGCTAGAACGCAAGCTGATCGTTGTCGTTGATATTTTTGTACAATTTAACCCGTGCCATTATATACGTCCCAGACACTCTTAAGCTATCTGTATTTATACAATACTTTTATATGAACCAAAATACACCTGGCTAAGTTGGAGAAGGGAGAGGTTGTTGGGGCTGGCAGCTCTCTGAACGACGGTGACAGGCTGCCAACCCGAACGACTTACAGAGAGGTATCCAGGACCGGTAGCTTGCGAACATTGTCGCTCCGTCGAGTCTCCTCTCATCAATTGGCCACCAGCCTCGATCCTTGCCTCCTCCATGCATTCGCCAGGCTATCACCATGACAACAGGGATGGTGGTGGAAGATTGAGAGGGGCATCCTAGGACAACAATAACTGCTGCAGAGGCGTCGACAATAGTGACTTCCGCGGATCAAGGTGGGCGAGGGTGTGGCCGTTCGCGCTGCACTAGATCTTGACCGCATAATCATTGCCGAAAAGCAACTCATCAGCTCTGATTTTTCCCCCCTTCCATCGATTAATTGATGCCGCCGCCAATACCTACTCCTCTCCCTTCCCATGTGTCCCCACCTCATCAATGGGCTCCTCCACCTAGCTGATTTGACGCCTCCTTGCCCGAAGATGTCCATGGGACCGGCAAAGAGCAGCTCAACAATGCCAATGAGGTCGGCATGAAGCTCGGTGACGCTTGTTGTAGAGCAAATCGGCGGTGTCCTCTATCTCTCTCCCAGCTCAGGTAGCAGCATTTTAGTCCATAGGAAAATATGATATGAAGAAGGATGGTTCAAGGATGTCTGAGTCTTTGAGATGTATGTAATGGCACAATTTAAATTTTATAAAATATTGTCATCCACCATGTTTCAGTTGTTGTAATGGCAATTTTTTATTAGGCACTTTCCTAATGGCGTAATCCAGTTAACCGTTAATTGTATAACAAATTGATGTACACTTTTAGTGCACATAAAAATATCTTGATAAAGCAATTAAATAGTATGCACGTACGCATGTTTCTATGTGTGGGAGAATTAATGTAAAGTATTTGTCATGCGTGTTGAACAAGAACAACTCTATCTAGTACGCTCTATAGCATCAAGTGGATACCAATCAATCTAATCCAATCAACATATGGCAAGCAGCACTGAAGAACAAAGAATTGAATTAGGAGGATAACTCTAATAGTGACATTTCCTGGATAGTGCACAAGTGTCGCTCTTGTGCCAACACCACTACTCATAGAATCATAGTAGACTCATATAGCTGTGGTTGTGTTCTTGTAGATTACTGGTTTATATCATCCATCCATATTAGGTCCAGACCGACCAACAAAAGCAGTGTCTCTCCTTCCCTTCACATTCTTATCTATTAGGATTATGTCATATATATCCACAAGCCATATGCCATAAGAGTATTGTTAGAGAGTGCCATATTTTCTGCATATATGATTTTGTATAATTGTGATGGGAAAATGACCTTTGATCAAGACATTTTTGTGCCTTTCTATTTTTGGGATTCTTATTTATGATATACGTGTATTTACGATATGTGCATCGTTTATTTCTTTTTGTATTTGTTATAAAAGAAGGTTGTTTCTGTTCATTCACAAGAGATAGAAATTAACATATTACTTCGGAGAAAAAAAGGGAAAATCTAGTAGATCCTAGAATATAATTATGTAATTTGAACAGATATACAGACTAATGTCCAAAGTCCTAAGCTCTGCAATTCCGCAGGAAATTCAACAAGTTTTCATTAATATAATCCATGAAATTTCATTACTTCTTCAGAATTCTTCTCTTTACCATTGAAGAATTTCTCGCGAAGGTGAAGTGTAAGGTGTAACACATTACTCCCTTTGACACATGATCCCACACGGTACGACCAATCGGATTATTGAGTGAAATTGTCGCTACGAATTATCTACTTGATTGTAGTAATAAATTATATATTTTGATAAATGAACTTAACAAATACTAACTTAAAACAAGTGGTTTGGCTTAAGTAATACAAAAGAACAATTTTTTTTTTGAGAAAATATATTTTTTTAAGCATGGAGCAAATAATCCGTTTCAACAATTGAAAAATAATCTGAAAATAACTCAAGCCCATGACTTGTATCTTACTAATCCCTTGCTGCTGATATGGGGGACCACATCTGGCTCATGTGGACATCATGATGCCAATAAGTTCTGAGCTGGCATAGAGATATGCACAGGTAAGCAGCCTCCAGACAGATCATCTCAAATGGCATCACAATGACATGTGGGCCCATGCCTTCAAATATTGCTAGATGCACCAGGAAGGAATGCTTTGAGCTTTTCCACTACTCCAGTCTGAGTTCATAACTATGATTAAAAGATGCTCATTGTTTTGTATAATAGAGTTTCGTCTTGTGATTAACAATGTTTCTATTTTGTATAATTGATTGGAAAAACTGAAGAAGAAAATTCTCCGTACAGAATTTTCAATGAAATAAATAATTGTTGCCTTTGAAAGGTTTTACACATATAAGTATCCAATATAAGGGTATAGTCTAGCATGTGATATATGATCTTACATCCTCCTCTGTCTCAAGAAAGTATGCGTGCTCCTGCTGTTTTTATGGAATAATTACTATAAGAAGATAAACCATTTCTCAAGTGAAATTATGTTGGACTAAAACAAAACGATGCCCCACCTCTGCCATTTACCAATCATCCTTGGAACCCGCGTTTGTCCCGTGTCTGTGCTCGTGTGCACGTAGCGAAACAACTCCTCCGCTACCTTGAGCCATATTCGTTACTCTGAAGCCTTTACTTAGAGCAAGTTTAATAATATAGCTTACTACTAACTCTCACTACTGGAGAAATCATGTTTGGTCGGTCAACCAAATTCCACAATAGTACCAGTTACAATAAAAATCGGGACTAAAGATTATCTTCCCGGTTCAAAAGGTTAGAGCTATCGAGACTAAAGATCATTTTTAGTCCCGATTCAAAGAACAACAGACGGTGTCAAACTCTCTTGTTATCTTTAGTCACCAACCGGAACTAAAGATCTATTTCTAATCCCGGTTGGTGTTACCAACCGGAAAAAAGATCGGCATGCGCGGCGGAGAGGACGAGGCGTGCGCGAGATCGAGGAGGAGGAGGCGGGATCAGTTAATAAGTTCTATCTCCTCCTCCCTCACCGTATCTCTTCCTCCTCTTCACCCCATCTCTTTCTCTTCCTCCTCCTCTCCTCATTCTCTTCCTCCCCTCTCCTCCCCATTCTCAGGCAGCCGGGCGGCGGCAGATCCGGGAGGGGAGGCGGCCGGCCGCCACTGGATCCGAAGGGGGAGGCGGCCGGGCGGCGGCCTCGCGCGGAGGGCCGCACCTGGCGGCGGTTGGCGCAAAGGCCAGTGCGGCAGCAAGCGGTGGAGGCCGGCGCTACTGCGTGGAGTTTTTTTTTCTTTTTTTTTTCTTAATATGTGATTCGATCTGTGTTGTTGTTGTGAATGATTTGGGGATGAAGTATTGTGTGAATGATTTGGGGATTAACTATTATGTGAATGATTTGGGATGAACTATTGCTGTGAATGATTTGGGATGAACTATATCGCTGTGAATGATTTGCTGTGAATATTTGATCTGAGATGATTTGGGCAAATTGCAAAACAACAGTGAAAAAGAATGAGAGAAGAAAAAAAAAACCCTCCAGCCGGGACCACATCTTTAGTCCCGGATGGTATCGATCTTATACTTTATCATTAATGCATAATCTACCCATATCTCTCACATAGTTTATTGGAGCTTGTGCTGCAACTCCCGCTTTTGTTCTCTCTCCTCTCATCTCTCCTCCAGATAAGTACAAATCTGATGTGGCGACTTGTATAGCCCGCTTATGTCACATTAGTGTACTCGCTCTTAATTTTCGTCTCTTATTTAATTTTTTTTTACACTATCACTTATTTACTCCCTTTTCATTACTGTGGGAGAGGTATTTTTTAAATATATTTTCACATTGATCCTAAACTCACCTGCATATAAACTTAGTGGGTGATCAATAACCGACTTTGCATTACCAGAAACCCAACTCCCATGGTTTTGGAGAGTAGCCAATCCTTGACTACTCATGTTCGTGTGCACATAGCAAAACAACTTCTCCCTACTTATATTATTCCCTCTAATTACATAACGTTTTTTTACAATAACATAATTTTCAAAATATATTATGTTTTTCTATTATAATTCATATAATAAAAATATACATGTTATCATAGTATTTTATAAGATAAATCTATATATATGTTATTTTAATACCTTTAAATTAGATTTCTTAGCATGTGTTCGTTATGTGTGGTTGGAGATTTTCTCCCACACGGAAAACGAGGCAGCTCAGAACATAATTAATTTAGTATTAGCTTAAAAAACTCAAAAAATAGATTAATATGATTTTTTTATAATAATTTTCTGTACAATTGTACGCCATTTAATAGTTAAGAAATCATGCGCACGGAAAATCAGAGCTTAAAATTCGGAAGAGTTGAGAAAAGAACACAACGTTAGTCAACCTTTATCCAAAAGAACGTGGACAAACGGGAGTAAGCACACGGCGGCGAACGAAGCCTACCCGAAACAGTGGATGACAAGGTGGGCCCACACGAAAGGCGAGTGCGTGTACACCTGAACTAATCCACAAACACTCCTCTCTTCCGCGGCCACGGTGTGCGCTGACCTCCCGGTGAGTTTGACCCCCCAACACCGTCTGTCCGTCTCGTCGGTGAGCCGCCCGCGACCTCCGCCGTATAAATTCCTCGGCGCGTGCGCGAGCGGAAGCCCAGCCACAGCCAGCCGAAGCAGCCGAAGAGAAGAGGGAAGGAGGGAGGGAGGGAGGCAATGGGGGACTCGAGCGGGTCGGGTTCGGGTTCCGGGTCTGTGTCGGTGGACGTCGAGCGGATTTCCTTCGGCGGCAAGGTCTGTCCGTGCTCCTCCGTTTCTTGCTTCTCTTCTTCTGCTTCATTTGGGGATTTTTTGTTCTGGGCTGAGGACCAGGAGGAGGAGGAGTTCCATGGGCGCTTTGGAATTTCTCTTCTTCTTCTTCTTCTCTTTTTAGGGAGGTTATGGTTTGAGTTTGGTTCTTGGGAAGATATAAGTCTTTGTTTCTGAATGCTTGGTTTCTGGAAATGCGATTGCTGGTTTCTGTTTTTTTTTTTACCATGATAAAATCCTCTTTTTTTGTTTTTGTTTTTTTTATTTTTGGGTGTGTAATGTTTTCACACAGCGGGGCTGTCTCGTTTTCAGTTCTAGCCATCAATCTTGTCACAGTTGCAGTGATCTTTTTTATGTTTTTTGTTTTTGGACAAGCAAAGCAATTGTATCTTGCTTGCAACGAGGACTAGTTTATTCTGGCACTTCGAATCAGTGGACACAAGCATACGCTTCCACCAAATTTAGTATACTGTTTAATTTGCTCGTAATTCTTCAGACTTATGCGTTGTTTCACTTCCAAGCCGTTCTCATTTCGAAGTGATTATCACTGCATGATTTCTCCAGGAGCATCAAGTGAGGACGAGATGCGGTTCATTATCCGTCGCGATATACGGAGACGAGGACAAGCCGGCGCTCATCACGTACCCGGACATCGCGTTGAACCGTGAGTAACAACCACATCTCGTGAGATTCTTGGAAGACATGGTAGAATTGGGAATTCATCGATCATATATGATTACCCATTTCTTGATTTGCATGCAGACATGTCCTGCTTCCAAGGATTGCTGTTTTGCCCCGAGGTGGCGTCGCTGCTGCTCCACAATTTCTGCATATACCACATAAATCCTCAGGGGCACGAGGTCTGTAGCCTGTGTGATATTGTTCAGACATGTCCACTGCCACTGCGTGATGCTTGAGTTTCTGTTGGTTGGGTTGCTCACATGATCATTCTCATGACATTTGTTAAGATTTCAATGCAGCTAGGAGCGGCTCCAATTCCATCCGATGTGCCGGTGCCATCTGTAGAGGATCTCGCCGATCAGGTTGCGGATGTGCTCGATTTCTTCGGGTACAGTTTCGCATCGTAGTCCGAGTTCGTTGTACTCTTTTTCAGCTAGTGGCATGTGACATCAATATATGAGAGCTTTTTCATTTTTTCAGATTAGGATCTGTGATGTGCCTGGGTGTTACAGCTGGTGCCTATGTCCTCACTCTGTTTGCAGTGAGTGTTCCTGTACATTGTGAATTCAGGAGAAAATCTTACTCTTAGACTGTGCTAATGACAATCTTCATTTTCTCAATTGTCGCAGACGAAATACCGGGAGAGGGTAATAGGCTTGATGTTGGTTTCCCCTCTATGCAGAGCCCCATCATGGAGTGAATGGTTGTATAATAAGGTAACTTCATGTTTCAGTAAGACTGATCATTTTCACTCATGCCAAGTAATGCCAATGATTAAGTGTAGCATTTGATGCACCAGGTATTATTAAATTTGATCTACTATTACGGGACTCGAGGCTTGGTCAAGGAATGCTTGCTTCAGCGGTACTTCAGCAAGGTGACTTCAGAAGTCACTATTCTCAGCTTGTCTTCTTCCAATTTTATACATTATGGCTTTATTCACTGTCTTACTGATGCATTTTCTGCAGAAAGTGTGTGGCAGTGGTCACTATCTTGAATCAGACATTGTACAAGCTTGTAGAAATGTTAGTTCCTTATTGCCAAACCATGAAATTCCTTTATATCTTGTTGTTTCAAATCATAAACTGAAGGCGTTATTTATTTTTATTGTGCAGTTGCTTGATGAGAGGCAGGGTGAAAATATCTGGCGGTTTCTTCACTCGATAAATGAGTACGCGTTACCTCCTTTAATTTTGTTTCCTAGTCAATGGGAATACTTCATATCTTGGAGCTCATATAAACTACACTCCATCAGGAGGCATGACTTAACAGATGCATTGAGGAAGCTGCAGTGTCGAACACTGATTTTCGTAGGAGAAAACTCGCAATTCCATGAGGATGCCATCCACATGACCACAAAGTTGGACAAGAGATATTGTGCTCTAGTTGAGGTAACATATGGATCCAACCTGTGCCGTTAACAATCAAGACAAACTTGAAGAAAAAAAATTGTACTCAGGGTTGCTTCATGGGGTAATTGCAGGTTCAGGGTTGTGGCTCCCTTGTAACCGAGGAGCAGCCACATGCTATGCTGATGCCGATGGAGTACTTCCTCATGGGATACGGGCTTTACAGACCGTACCAGATGAACAGCAGCCCTCGCAGTCCGCTAAGTCCATGTTGTATATCACCGGAGTTGCTATCTCCTGAGAGCATGGGAGTGAAGCTGAAGCCGATCAAGACTCGAATAGCCGTGGATTACTAACGCAGGCAAGATTTCAGCAATCAGAATGAACTGCTTTGCTTACAGCTCAGAGAACTGAAGATAGTCCTGGGCTGGTTGAAATGTTACCGTAGAGACGCAAAGTTTGTTCATGTGTTTGAGTATGTACCCTGGCAAAAAAAGCCTCCTTTTGTTGTATATATAGCCTTATAATCAGGAAAGTTCTACATCAGTAAGACAGAAAAGAGGGAAATCTGTAGTGGGGGATGTGTTCAGGGTGGTTCTTTGTTCAATTTGTTTTTGTAGTCAGCAGTCAGCAGCACAAAAATGTACATCTCGGAATAGTTTTGGGACAGATAAATAAGAATCAATCACCCCAGGTTTCAGATTTTTAACCATGGTATTACCAACAAAGTTTATTATATCCTGTCTGCTGCTCTGTCTTGTTGGGAGAAGGCTTGCAATTTCATTGCATGAACCCCTGGTTTTGAATGAGCTCCCCTCATACATACTTTCCAGATCATTAGTGCATCATATATGTCCATCTGGATGATCATTGGCCAGCAATGCAATGTCCCAGTTTCCAGTTCCACTTATTCACTGAAGAATAAAGCAGTGAAGGTCTTCTGCATTTGATGTTCCTGACCGTTTTTCTTGGCAGATTCAGCTATAGTTGGACCAGTACTCAGCTACAAGCTTACAGAAGGCAGAGTCCTCATTCTCCATCAGCCTTGATGGCCTATCATACTCTATGAGTTTCCCTGAAATACCAGACAAAGATCACACAGAATTCATTCAAAAGAAGAGAGTATTCATGATCCATTTGCTGCATCACTTCAAGGTAAGCATTTCTCTGAAGAATGATAGTGATTCTTTCAGGGCCAGTTGCTTACCGTATGAAAGAACCATGACCATGTCACTGTCAGTGACAGTGGGAACCCTGTGAGCTATGGTGATCACAGTGCACCCTGAGAACTCCTGCTTGATGACTCTCTGCAGGACGGCGTCGGTGGCCGAGTCGATGGACGCCGTCGCCTCGTCGAGGACCAGGATCTTGTTCCTGCGGAGGAGGACCCGGGCCAGGCAGAAGAGCTGCCGTTGTCCGGCGCTCCAGTTCTCGCCGTCGTCGCTCACTGGAGATTGAAAGATGGCCAGAAATGAGGATTTTTTCTTTTCAGTGCAACCACACTTGTCTGACAAACTTCTGAATATATTGAGAAGGTATGCACTAGGGAATCTGAATCAGGGCTCACCTGGTGATTCAAGAAGGCCAGGAAGGGCACTGATTGTCTTCTTCAACTGACACTTATTTAAAGCCTGGCATAGAAAACAAGATTGACACATGTGGGTCAGGCCCAAGACTATGCCAGTTTTGCTATTTGTTTGTTGTTCGATCTTTTCTTATCTGTCAGTCATCTAAACTCGCATAAGAATAGCCTGAACTTGCAGTATATAAAATAGTGCACCCTTTTGTTTACTTTGTTTTTATTTCCTAGATTAATCTATATGCATTTTTATGCTTAGATATATCAAATTTTTTTTTGGTAGTATCATATTAGTATCATTTTTAATTTTTTTTGTTTTGCTTACCTCCCAAATGTCTTCATCAGTGTGCAGACCCAGAGGATCAACATTGCTCCTTACACTGCCTCTGAAAAGTGTTGGCTCCTGAGGGATGATGCTGAGCTTCATCCTCAGGTCTTTCAACCCTATGGTGCAAATGTCAAGATCATCGATGAGAATTCTCCCGCTGTACGGGTCGATAAGGCGGAACAATGTGCTCAGAAGAGTCGTCTTCCCGCTCCCGGTTCTTCCAACAACTCCAATCTTATGTCCTGCTGCAAATGTGCAGGTAATCCCGCGTAATACCGTAGGCGCATTTCGGCGGTACTTGACCTTACAAACAATGACATAGTAATATAAGAATTGCACAATATCAGAGAAAATATTTAATTGATTCTTATAAGATTTCATTTGATTACTCTTAAGTTCTCCAATTCTATCCTTCCTGCAGATGGCCATGAAGGGGGAGGCCTTCTGTCAGTAATAACAGCAGGAGGCTCAGCTGGCAGATGCATGAACTGTTTGATTCTCTCCACAGATATGATGTAGTTTTCCAGGTTTGAGTAAAATCTTGTCACAAACACTTGGGCTGAAGAAAGCATTAACGCATACGAGAGACACAGGCCAAGAAATCCTGCAAAGATTACCAAGAACACCTCAGACATAAGTAGTCTGCACTTCGTTGCAAATCAGTCTGCTCAGTAACTGAATTATGTACCTGGAGCAACTGCTCCCTCCGGAAGCAAGACGAGGAGGATGGATGATGCAACAATAACCAAGATCTGTAGAGCCTCGACGCGCAAAAGAACCCATTCCAGTGCTGCGTTTGTGTAGAAGAACAGTGTCGCATCTGTGTCGATGAGCTGAAGATTTGTCTGAATAAACCTCTTTGTCTCAGCAAAGGCTCTTATGGTGATCACTCCCAGCATCGACTCCGCTGCGTAGTTCATGACCGGTGCCTTTGTAGTTCCATTGATCCTCACCAGCTCCCTTGCTGAGGCAATGTAGTATCTCTGCAGCATTACCATTGTTTTCGTTGCTTTTGACAATTATGCAGAGGGGGAACACCAATGATGAGTTCAGAACTAAAAAGACATGATCATGCTCACCTGGATGTACAGAAGTGCAACTATGACAGGAATAGCAACCAGTACAAGCTGCCATGTAACCAAGATCATGATAGCTATGGTTGTTGCTATTTCGATCGAGCCGGAGATCACGAAAGTCATTGCAAACGGGATGTCAAAGTCTAAGATGCTCAAATCTGATGAAGCCTGCAGAATTCAGAGAGAAAACATTTGTCTGAAGATTACAACAATGTCTGAAGAAATGCCATTGACAGATTGAAGGTGGTGGAACATTTCCTTTACCCTGGTCATGATTCTCCCTGTGGGAGTGGAATCAAAGAACACCATGGGTGCCTTAAACACCGAATCCATGAACCTGGAGAAGAACTCCCTTGATGCTTTCAGTCCAAAATGCGCGGCAATGAGGCTCCTAACATATGCAAACAAGCAGCTTACAGTTGCCATCACCGCATAGACTCCAATCACAACCCCAGCACTGAATTGTTGGTTCTGAATTGCTACTGCAAGCCAGTAGGTTGCCAGGCATTGCAGGCCGAAGAACGCGCACTGCGTGACTAGTATCATGGAAAGGAGGAACCAGCCCTTGGATACCGAGACATAATCCTTGTATGGCTTCAGCCCAATGTCTCCTAGCTCCCTCCTCTCCTCTTCTGTCAGCTGGACTGATTTCAGGTTACCGGTTGAGATCTCTGCCTCACTGTTCTGCTGTATCAGTGGTACCTGGTACTGAAACGCGCCGAGTTCTTTTGCTCCTTCTCGGCGATCATCGGTGTCTAGTATTGTTTTTGAGTCCTTGTGCGCATTCACAAGCTGTTCGAATGCCGTGCCGGATTGCAGAAGCTCACTGTAAGTTCCCTCCTGAGTTATCTCCCCATTTTCCATGACCTGAAAGAGAGCATTTTTAGCATTATTCAGTGCTATCTAATTGCTTGCAATGTGATTTTGTAGACATGCTTACCAGGATCTTGTCAACCTTGGAGAGGAACTCAACTTGATGTGTGACAAGAATGACCGTCTTGTTCTCAAGAGCTGCCATGACACAATCCTACAGAGGAAAAGGTAACACATCTATAAATAGAATGATCCTGAGAATATGACAGTGGCCTCTGAAACTGAGATGAAAAATTTCTTACATTGAACAGTGTCGCAGCGGTATGCGCATCGACGGCGCTGAAAGGATCGTCAAGGAGGTAGACGTCGGCGCCATTGTAGACGGCTCTCGCAAGCTGAATCCTCTGCTTCTGCCCTCCACTCATGTTCAGGCCTCGTTGCCCGATCTCCGTCAGGTCGCCATGGGGGAAATTCTCCATGTCCTTGTCCAATGCACAGCACCTGATGGCCCTGTCATACTCCTCATTGTTCATCGGCTTCCCGAATAGGATGTTGTCGCGCACCGTGCCGCTCTGGATCCATGGCGTCTGCGGGACATAGGCGATCGAGCCGGACATAGCTACCTGAAGAAGAGAATTCAGAAGAGGAAACACAGTTCATCAATGTGAGAATTTCCACACATTTTGGCAGAGTTTTTCAGAAATGTGCATCTTGGTACAACATACTGATCCAGACATTCTTGGTATTTCTCCGAGCATTGCGCAGAGCAATGACGATTTCCCCGCGCCAACCGGACCGCAGACGGCGATCTTCTCGCCCTGCATTGCTGCGATGCTGATGGATTTCAGTGTTGCAATGGCCTTGCTAGGCTCCCAGCTGAAGACGCCATTGTTGATGGCCATGGTGATCATGTCGGAGCTTGGCATTGGTAATGGCAGGACGGCGTCGTCCCGGAACTCCTCCTCCATGAGGAACTTGCCGATGCGGTCCAGCGACACCTTGATCTGGATCATGATGGACAGCACCTCCGGCAGCATCCTCATCGGCTCCGAGATGACGCGGAGCGTGGCGAGGATGGTGAACACGACGGCGGCGTCCAGCGGCGCGCTCCGGAGCGCCGCCGTGCCGGCGAAGATCACCGCGGAGATGATGGTCGGCGACATCCAGTATAGCGAGCTGCCGTACGCCTTGCTGACCTGCGCGTCGGCCAGCCACCGCACCTCGGCGTCGCGCAGCCGCTGCACGTTCCCCCTGAAGAATTCCTCCCACGACTGGAGCTTCACCACCTTCATGGCGCCGAGCGCCTCCGCCGTGGCGCGCTGCCGCTCGTCCTGCGCCGCCATGAACCTCGACTGGTAGCGCTGCAGCAGCTTGGCGAAGGGGACGTTGAGCACGCCGCAGGCGGCGACGGGGACGAGGCCCGGGAGCGCGCCGGCGCCGACGGTCCAGAAGAGGAGCGCGACGGCGAGGGCGAGCTGAACCGGCATGCTCCACGCGAGGTGGAGCCAGTACGGGAACTCGCCGAGGCGGTACGCGTCGACGGCGATGTAGTTGACGATCTCGCCGGCGGAGTTCCGCCGCCGCGCCTCGCCCGACAGCCGCAGCTGCTTCTCGAACACGGCCGCCATGGCCGCGGAGCGCATGCGCATGCCGAGGCGGCGCGACCCGAAGAACCAGTGCCGCTGCGACAGCGACTCCACCAGCTTCATCACCACCAGCGCGGCGATGAGCGCCATGCCGGCGGCGAGCCCACGCTCCCGCCGCCGGTAGGAGTAGGACACCAGGGAGTAGAGCATCACCGGCATGGCGCCGAACGCCGCCGTCCGGAGCAGCGTGTAGAGCGCCGTCAGGAGGAGGTCCTTCTTGTAGCACGCGGCGAGCACCGCGAACACCAGCCTGCTCGCCGCCTTCTCCTCGCCGCCGCCGCCCGGCGTCGCGCTCCGCCGCCGGTGCCATTCTCGCAGGAACGTGTCGCACGCCTGCGCCGCCTCGTCGTCGGCGTCAAGCGGCGGGACGTCGCCGAGGCCGAGCGGCTTGGAGTAACCCAGCCGCAGCAACGGGTTCATCCACGTGAACAGCAACCTGCTCAGGAACCCAGCCTCGCCGAACGCCGACGACCGCTCGCCGCCGCCTCTCGCCGACAGCAACGGCTCGGTCGACGTCTCGCCGTCGCCGCCACCGGCGACATCATCACGGCGGCCGGCTCGACCAACCACGAACACGCACAGGAGCAGCACCAAGCTGACCCCCCATGCCGCGACATCAAGAACCGGCAGCGAGCCACCCCTCGCCACCACCTCTACGCCGTACGCCGTCCTCATCGCCGCCATCGCCGCCCACCACGCCATGGCCACGGCGCTCGACAACCTCGTCGGCCGAACCACCACGGACACCGCGACGAACACCCACACAACCCCTCTCACCACCGCCACCGCCGCCGCCGCCGACGCCGACGACGACGACGACCTCAGCGCTCCCAAGCACACGCAAGCGACGCCAAGAACAGCGCAGCAAGGAGAAGCAACGAGGCACAGCCATGGCGGCCGCAGCCGCAGGCCGCCCCACCTCGCCGCAACCAAGAATCGCTTCTCGCATCCGGCGATCACCAGCGTCGCGAGGTAGACGACGAGGAGAAGAATGTTGGCGAGATCGATCAGGTTAGCCTGGAAACACAGAGAATCCTCCTCCTGCTGCTGCTCGCATGCCGATGCAATCGACCAACCTAATCCTGCAAAAAACACAGAGAAAAATTCAGAGATTTGGTACAACTGCACCGGGTAATAAATTGGCAGTGATATGCCAAGAAGACAAGAACAAGATTTGCATTAAACAGAAAAAAACAGATGCATGGGAGCAAAGCTTGAGGAGAAGATCATTGTTCATTGGCCAAGAGAAAACAAAAGATTTTGATGGTGATGGATGGCTAATACTACTACTGCTACCTTGCATGATGCCAAGATGAGAAGCCATTGATGATTTGATCTGTCCTTGTGTGAGGTTGCTCATCAGTGATGCACTACTAGCATCGATCTCGGAATGGTTTCTTTTGTGGAGCTCGCAGGTTAGGATCTGTGTCCACTCTATTTATTATTGTTTCTTTTTCCACCTTTTAGCATACTGACTCTTTGTCGTTTCTGAGTGAATATCGTGGAGCACAAATTCAAGAGGAACACAACTTGGAAAATTCAACCTGAATGGTTTCTAATGTTATCGCGTAAAAGAAGAAATGAACATGCCATTGGTAATTATTGCCATCAAATTTGTCATTCCTAAGGGTGAAATTTACAGCTTTGTCCATTCATATATGTCCCTTTTGTTTGAGCACTTTTACTGTATAATTTACTGGTAGTATATAATGTCAGTATAAACAAGGACACATCAGTAATTCACCATATAAAAAAAGGTATTTTAATAATTTTTGGGTTTAGTGCCTCGCAGGCCACGGTCATTCAGTTGTACAGTAGTTGGCAGTGACAGCACGGCACACATGAACTCGCGGTGGCTGGTGAAAGATGATGGGGAATGAGCGAGCTATGGGATCGAGCGGGAAAAAGTTTAGCGCGGTTTACACTCTGAATTTACGGAATTGCCCCCCACCCAATAGTATAGGAAGATAATTTTACCCCTTTTAATTTTACTGAGAGGACAAAACAATCTAAACCTTTTAATCAATTATATCAGCAAAATGTAATGTAAGTTCTCTTTTATTTTATTACAATGCGTTTTTACTACAGAAGTCCTACTCTTATCCATTGTAAAATCTCCCAATTTTAAAAATGCAGAATATATTTATTTATATTAGTTTCCTTGATTTTTGGGGTATTCCTCAAAAAGAATCACCAGTTAGAAAAGTATACCTCATAATTTCAAGCAAGCAGCAATTGATCTTAGAAGCTAAATGGAATATTTTGAAAATGTGAAAGCATTTTTGTGCATTTGTAAATAGTCATAAGTGCCTCCCTGACTTTGTTATGTAAATTATGGATTTAATTTGATATGTTTTTAATACTAGAGCGGATGCATAATGGTTTTTGACCTTTTTTTTAAAGGTATACGTAGGGATACCGGCCGCTTATCTCTTTGACTTGTATACTAATTAATTTATACTAGATCACTAACAGCTAGCTGATATAGAATCGAATTGCGTGCAAATCTATTTGTTAATTTCTCTCTTATTTTTATTCTGAATTATGGTGATTCTATATTGCATCAGAGGCGACTGTAAGATCATTCTGATGATCATAGTTTTATTCTGAATAATATTCTCTTTTCTTAAAATAACACGCGTGGATTTGAATTCTTAAGAAAAGTAAACATTTATCTTTTATTGTAAGGGTGCCCATCATGCACATTATCTATTACAGCAATTTGGCGCAGCAAATTATGCATGTTAAGAAAGCTAGATGCGCATATGGAGTTGTGGGTGCATATCTTCACATATTACTCCCTCTGGTTCCTTGATGTTTTAGTTAATGATACGGTCTCCAAGATATATATATTTGACTATTTTTTTCTATGATAATATATACAATAAAGAAGTTTTTTTATTTTTATTATAGTACTTTCTAAGACAAATCTATATATGTTGTTATGACTTTAAACTAAATATTTTTAAAATAACTGATAGTCAAAATTATAAAAGTCTGACTTTAACTTTATCTAAAACCGATCGAAGGAAGTAGGTTTAATCCTGGTGCTACAATTTAATGATTGTATACATGTATCATAGTTAGTGCACAGATGGAAATTTCTTCCATTATAAAAAATATTTTTATGGTTTTAAACGCTTATTAAATTTGCTATTTTTCAGTCAGGTAAAATTACAAATTGTTAATCCTGATATTACAGGTCTATGCAATGTGTAACTTTTTTTCATTTTAAAAGCAGTTTTGTCATTCATGTAAAAAAACCAGTTTTGTCATTATATATGGTTTTATTATATTTTATTTGAAGTTTGAATACTTTTTAGATATCATTGTTATTTTTTACGAATTCTAGATTTATTTTATTTTTAGGTTACTAACCTCTATCGATGAAACAAAGGATTATGTCTTTTGGTTTTGGCTATTTAAGATGGAAGTAGTAATTAACAGTGGGAGTGGTGATAACCAGGGACGAGAAAAGTGACTAAATTTTTTAAAAACTTCATCACCTACACACTCCAAAAGAAATACCAGTATTGACGTAAGTGAAGAGGGGCGGCTCCCCAGAGCACGCAGCGAGGATGCCAGTCCGGCCGAAACCCGGTGGTGCAGGAGTGGGGGAGCGGTCTCTCCTTGTCGGCTGCTGGGTTGCCAATGGTGAAGGTGGTGGAGGAGCAGTTGGTGGTGGCAGGGTGACGACGAGCGGAGCCGGTGGCGACTCCATCGATCTCCAGCGGGAGGGAGCACGGCTCGTCGGTGAGCGCGGTCCATCCATGGTGCGTATAAAACTGTACCCTCTGGACTTGAATGCGGCGGGACACCCCGGTGACCGGTGAGGCAGGGGCCAGCATAGCGGGGACCGGCGGGGCAGCGACCGGTGAAGCGGCAGCCATGCGACGGTGAGGGGTGCTGGCAGCCACTAACCCTAGACCGACTGCTGTGGTGGGCAACGCGAGATCTCCTTGAGTGGCGAAGAAGGTGATGAAGACGGCGAGCGTGTTGGTGGCGAGGGTGGCCGAGAACGGCGTTCATGATCACACCAAAGATAGGCATTTCGTACCTTTGCTGTTGATTCCTTTATGTTTCTCCTCTTTCTCTTTCTCTTTCTTCTTCGTGAGAGCGAAAGTACTGATAATGTATTGCGAGTAGAAAGTGCAAGAGAGATTGAGCGAGAGAGAATTGATTTCATTGATCATCTGGGGTTACAATATATAAGGGGAAAAAGGTGGCAACTGTGGGTGCGATGGCTGGGGAACCATCGCGCCCGTTGCTAGGAGCGCCACGAGGGCGAGAAGGCGTGGGGCACGACACAACCACTGTGCCTAAGCCGTTGGTTGCCAATCCATCCAATATATATGGATGAGATCACATATCTTGTTGTATAACAGTAAGTAGCCTTCTTTCCAGGATGGTCACCACCACCAATCATTTTGATTGAAATGATGGTGGAGAAACTCATAGCTCCTATTTAATCTCTTTGCCGATTTAACCTCTCTCATTAGATCCTATGACCATTTGAGATAGATTATTGATCGAATAATTGCCACGGATCAATACTTAATAACACGTATAAATTTAATATTAGTTTAATAAGTAAACTTAATAAATATTTTATAACAAGTAGAATAAAGCTTTTAAAACAACATATTTCTATAGACCTCGTGGTGATAGAATAAATATAATCTATAATAATAGTTCGATGAAGTGGCTGAAAAGGACCGGTGTCAGATCAAAGCCATTGTGAACCATAAGAGCTGTTAGTAAATTTTACCACAAGGAGGTGTCATACAATGAAGAGGCAGTGATGACTATGTATTGCGATGTACAAAATGACGACATGTACGACGATGCGATGTTTCAACTGATCAAATACCATGTACACACGCAGAAACAAAAAGGGACAGTACAGACAATTCATGCTCTCTATAGCTACAAAACGTGCATCTTAATTACTGTTGCATAAACATTTTCTAGAAAATATTTTCTTGTGCAAATTGAATTCCAGTTGGCTACTTTTGCATAATGGCACAGATCGATCATCATCATTGTGTCGCACACAGTTAATAATTAATTCCAAATGTTTTTCATATAATTTGTTTGTACTTTGGCACTGTACTATACTGTTGTAGCATCTCTTTTTCTCACCGAGATATCAAATCTCTGTCGAAATACACAGCAAGATACCATCAAATCTCTGTGGATATATATATAGACACACAGTTAATTCCAAATGTTAGTCATATAATTTGTTTGTACTTTGGCACTGTACTATACTACTGTTGTAGCATCTTTTTTTCTGACCGAGATATCAAATCTCTGTCGAAATACACAGCAACATACCACCAAATCTCTGTGGATATATATATAATGTTTGGTGCTCCATGGTGTCCGGGCACCATTGTTGAAATTGAGTATATACCCAATTCAAATGAGTATGAAACTTTTTCAAATATTTAGTTATTAACATTAACTACTTTATTAATTAGTTCAAAGCAAGTTTGAACTGAATTTGAACTTATTTTTGTTAGATTTTGATTCTAGGTATATAGCATCCAAACATATAATTAGTTAGGTATGTAATCATGGATTGTGAAATAAAGTTAAACTTAAGTTTGTTTTGTTGATAGGTATAGATATGAATCGAATTCTTATAACTAGGTATATACTCACAATTTGAAAATTTTAAGTGATTTTGTGCATTTGATACCATGGTGTCCGGGCACCACACACACCTCCTCGTCGATATCTGGGTTTGATGTAGAATATTAATTATTACTCTGGAAAGATTGCGATTGATGCATGACTTTCTCCATAGATGGAGATGTGGTTGGACGATTCAACTGCCTTTTAATAAGAAAGCATATCGACTAAGGCGTGGTCTAACCCGTACGAAAATCGATTTATTTCTCTACAGATAAGTACTGCAACTGTTTTTTAAAAATTACGCAATTGGGAGTGGATGTTGAGATCTTTTTGGAACTAATACTATGCATATTGAGCTGCAAATACTAATTACTAGTGCTATATAAGTCCGTATTTTACAATGGGATTGGTACTTTGGTTGTAGTATGGACAAATGGTTTTATGCATTTAGTTTTATCTATCCAGTTTTATAAGTGGTTTGATTTTCGTGTGGGTTTTCTTTCTGGGTGGGGTGTTTTTCTCTAAGGTACTTCATCTGTTTTATATTATAAGACTTTCTAATATTGCCCACATTCATAAAGATATTAATGAATCTAGACACATATGTATGTCTAGATACATTATATCTATATGAATGTGTACAATACTAGAAAGTCTTATAATATGAAACGGATAGAGTACTTTTTTTAATATGATGGAGGAAGTACGATATTGATGGTATGAGAGGAGAAATATGACTATGTTTTTACAGTATTAGAGAAACTTTGCTACCACTAGCGGAGAGCCGATAATAATTGCTGATTTAAAAACCGATATATAAATGGGCAATCGACAATGATAGTAATGAGTATATTCATTACCCATGATACCGAGTATCATGTAGATTTAAGAATATTCTAACAGGTAGTGAACGATACTCGTTTTGAGGAAAAAAAATCCCTTCGCCCATGGCTAGGAGGGCCAATGTTGGTTATTTTGGTCGCTCCACTCTCAGGGCAATCTGGATCCAGTGGTAGGGGGGGCGCTATGGTAAGGTTGCTGCAACAAACAATGTGACGGCGAAAGCAACAGCCAAATGTTATAACCCGGTAAGGGAGCGACAATGGTGGAACTCGGAGGGAAGGGGGGTGGGCAACACGAGGAGGAAGTGGAGGGAAAAAGAGAAAAAAAACCAAGTATGAGTGTAAACAACGACACCCTCCTCAATGGCGAAAGCCAACTGTAGCGTGAGGATCCAGATGCAATGGGTGTGGAGAGAATTAGACGACAACACACTGTGCTTGTACGCCTCGTCTGACCAGGCCAGGTTCGGGAGACACACACATATGATATGCATGTGAATGGTGCGTCAAAATTGGTACTTCGTGCTTCCTCATACACGACTTTCTTTTTTCTTTTTTATAGTTTTGTTTTGCTACATCTAATGGATTATCCTATTTGTTTTTTTTAACTCATTTGGTTATCCCCATTGCGTTGGAGTGGTGTGGAATCCAAATAGTTTATCCGTGACTTATCTGATTTGGTTATGTGATATGAAGATCGTGCAGACATTCTGATAATGCGCATGATATCTCTATAAATAATGAGTCATTGCCTCCACCTAATGTGTATGAAAAACAATTTAAGGTTTCGCCTCCTCTGTGATTTGCCCTCACACGTAGGCTAGTCCATCCCGCCTGCCGACGTGCACCGGCCATCGACGTCCTGTACTAAGGAAGGAGGGGCGAATATATAAGGTTTTGGGAAGTGCTAC